AAAAAAAGATTGTGAGTCCGATACAGATGAAGAATAACAATGATTTGTTGCATCTTGTATCTTTCTCTTGTTAGCCACTGCTTTGTCATTTACTTTTTCATTCTCTTGCCATTTTGACAAATGTACATATGAATTACGTATAGAACAAGGAGTTAAACGATATAATTTTCATTCAATCAATTGTATATAAAGAAGGCGCTATTCAACCTCAAAGAATTATATTATATTATAAATAATGGTAATATATGAGTGATGTTGCTTGCACTTATTAACGGATTCATGTAAATGATCCGTATCCGTTGGTTTTCTGAACTACTTCTTTTTTTCTTTGCAGCACATCACTAACTCACGAGGGAAGGTCATCAACTGATCAATCGCTTTTGAGTCGGAACTATGTGCATCATGTAGGTCCTAATGAGCTATGAATACCCTGAAAAGAGTTCGGGCTGCTAGCTTATTACTGTCGAGATACTGCATTTTTACAATTTTTTTGAGCAAAATGCCTTGGTCCCACTCAGGAACCAGAAAAACTGAGTTTCGAGTTTTGACTTGAAACTTTGCACAGAAATAGGCCTCAGTGAGAGTAGTTTATTGTGGAAGTTTCTGGTCTTTTGGTTGTTCCTATCCTAAGATACAGCTAAAAAGGGTGTTTTTACACTGCTCGTTACCCGTGACGGGTTCCAATATTCGTATTTCAGAATAGGAACAACCAAAAGATCTGAAACTTTCACAATAAGCTACTCTCATTGAGATCTGTTTCTGTGCCAAATTTCAAGTCGAAATTCAAAACTCAGTTTTGCTGGTGTTCCTGAGGGGGACCAAGGCATTTTGCTCAAAAAAATTGTAAAAATGCAGTATCTCGACAGTAATAAGCTAGCAGCCCGAATTCTTTTCAGGGTATTCATAGCTCATTAGGACCTACATGATGCACATAGTTCCGACTCAAAAGCGATTGATCAGTTGGTGACCTACCCTCGTCAGTTTATAAGCTTTCCTCGTCAAGTACCATATCCTATACTTTATCTTTTTTGTAACTTTTAATTCTCTCACTGTCTTTATCATGTTTGAATATCTAGTTTTCTCCCCGCACCTGTCATATATTCGCCGTTTCTTCTTCTTTTCTAGTATCCGTTGGGACTTGTTATTACACAATAAATACCGTATAGTACTTTTTTATAGTTCGGATGATTCTACTTTTTTTCTCATGCATACAGAGAGACATTGTTGTTCTTTGACTTTTTTCTTTTTCTTTCGTTAAAAAAAATTGAAGTCATAGCAGTGATTCTAATTCTTTTTATTTTTAGTCCAAAAAAATCACCTTCACCACCAACAACTTCTTCTAACCATGATTCTGATGAAGAATTGAACGAGATGAGAGCAATTGATAACGACGAGGTACCTGATGAATTTTTTGAAGATGACAACGACAATTCGGAAGATGATGATTTAATAGTGAAAGAACCTGATGAAAATGAAACTGATACTTCTTCGAATAGCAACACTAGCAGCGAAGAAGAGGAAGAATATTTAGCATCACCACAAAAAGAAAGACAACCAGAAGAATCATAACAAGAATTGGAAAAATTATTATCAAATTCTGAAGAATTAAAGAATAAAATAAATCTTTTACTTAAAAAGTTACGAAAATTAATCTCGATGATACGCAAATCCAATATTGTGACTTCATTCATCCGCAGTGAAATTCAACGAAAACAAATTGGTTTAGACACCATCAATAATTTAAACGACCAAGACAGCATCAAAATAAATGAACTCGTAAAAGATTTTTATGTTCATTGAAACTCAACATATTTTATGCTCATATGTGTAATAACAATTCAGCAAATTATCAATGATATAACTTATACACCGCAAGCACGTATCGGTTTAATATTCAAACAGATTAAAAAATTGAATTCATTAACAAACAGTTATCTAGGCTGGGAATTATTACAACGTTTAGCTAATGTTCTAGCTCCATTTTCTTTGACTACTTTGTGCTTATCAGGAGCAAAAATGTTACATTATCATTATCTTATTCAGTTCAAAAAAATCTTCACACATATTTGTCAACAGTAACAACTAATTCATTAGAAAATGTATTGAAACATTTATTATTAAACAAGTTTATATATGATATTTTGAATCAAAAGCAGCACCAGAACAAAAAAATGGCAAGTTGGTAAGTTGAAAGAGACTAAGAAAAAATATGTAGCTTGTATTACAAGTTTAATAAAAACAATGTCTGACACTCAATTGTGTGTTTCATAAGGCAAATAACTAATCAGAAAATGAAAAGAAACTCATCTTAATTTTTTCATGTTGAGTATTGGGATAGCACGTTAAATTTTATCTTTAAGCAAGTTAAAGTAGATTTTTCACAAAAATTATTAATAGTAAAAAATGTATTTCTTTTCATAAGAAACAGAATTCTTGCGAAACGTGTGATCGTTTTAGCAAAAAACATCTTTTTTATTAAAAAAAACTTTTAAAGGAAGAAATGCTTCCTTTAAAAAAACTATTTTTGTGAAAAAATTTACTTTAAGCTATAACATTTTTAAAGTTAAAGTTTAAAGTATTTCACTTTAACTTTAACTCCCTTTTTTTAAAGTTTAAAGTTAAAGTGCCAATCCTAATCGCGTAATTGATATAATCAAGGTTCGTCTTCTAAACCAGAAGAAGAATCGAAATCAGCCAAAGATCGGTGTGAACATTGTACGTCTAACGGGAAACAAGAAGTGACCATGAGTCATCGAATTTTCGTAGCTGTTCGTCGCTGATTCTGGTTTTCAGGTTGTTGTAGAAAACAAGTTTTGATTGTCCTGAAAAGTTGACGTGAAAATTCCAGTTGAGCTTTGTTTACCTCTCTCATTGATACGTTTTTGAAGAACTTACGCAGATAGATTCCAAAGTAACTAGAAATATCCTTGAAAATTCAAGACATCGTAGACCACTGTTGTTGAATAGTCTAACGATCAAGCGAAAATAATATGATTTTTAAGTATTTCTGTTGTTTAATAAAAAACTTGTGCCTACAGAAATTATTCAACATCACTCTCAGTCATTATCTCTACAAAAGAAAGCTTTTTCTTCTTTCACAGCACTCGTACTCCTATTACAGATAGGTCTGTTCAAGTCTTTCTATTTTTAGATTGCAGCATATCTAGATCCAAATACGCTTGTTAACGTATTTGATGAAGAAATCAGTCAAGCTGAATCATTAATTATTAGTGAAACTAAAGCACTTCGTGGCAAGCCACAACAGCAAATTACAACTTCAACACAGTCACAACTGCAACAGCAACAACTTGCATCATCATCATCATCCTCCGTTCCAAATATGAAACGTTCATTATCAATTGTGGAACGGTTCAAAAATGCCTGTAATATATTACATCGGCAACAGATATACTTACATCAAATCCAACACGAACAGTAAAACCACTATGTCTTAAAGAAGAGTTTAGTATGTACATGTCAACATATAAACAGTCAACAGATTGTGAAACATTTTGGAATCAAAAGCAACATATGTTACCAATTTTAACATCATTTTTAAGGCGTTATAGTATTATTCTAGCGACGTCAGTCGCCTCTGAATCAACTTTCTCCGTCGCTGGCTATGTTCACCGCAAACAACGGTCTTCTCTATCACCAACTACACTCAAGATATCTCATGTTGTT